AACTAATTATTTAAAATTAATAAAAATCTAAGAAAAAGTCAACTAGCTATATATATATAAAAACAATTAAATAATACTAGCTTATTTATAAAAACTTAATTTCAAATATAGATTTTTTGCAATCTTCCATTTCTTTTTAAACAATTGACAATAAAACTTACCTTAAAAAGTGATTCTATTTTGTTGTTTTCAAATCTTTTAAAATAAACTTAATAAAAATAAGAGAAAAGTCAAAATGTTTAATTTATATTTATAAAAATATCTCAGCTCTAAGAATGGTGTAAAATTTTTAAGTTCGGTCAAAAAATACGTGTCTACACACATCATATTCACAACTAAAAAACTCATGAATTATACTAGGTATCGAAAAATTTTGTAGCTAAACGACAAGATTTTAGTAATGAATTAGCCATTAATTATCGAAAAAAAATATTTGCTATGGAATAATTCAGTGTCGGATTGACGATGGGAAAAAAGATGACTTCACTAAATTATTGTGACAAATAACATTATATTGATAATCTAAGGATAACCACCGGTTAACAAGAATGGTGATGGAAAGACAAGTGAATCTATTTTCTTAATTAGAGATGTCGGATTTAAACTATGGATATTAGTGTATATAATTGTGTTTGTCAGGAAGCATTTTATTTTTAATATGGGACTTCTTGACACAAATTTAAAATTTTAATCGAATTCCAACTCGAATACGGAAAAGCACAACCACTAACCATAGAGAACCAAAAGTACAATCACTAACAATAAAAAAAACACTCAAATTAAAGCAATCATCAGTGGCGGAGTCGGATTCAAGATTTTCATTAAGGGGTTAAAAAAAATAAAAAGTATAGTTTCTAAGATTTAGACTTGAAACCTCAAGGTGAATTTTGAATTCCCTAAATCACTAAAAATAAACCAAATATGTACCTTATATATACAATACAACATTTTATTGATTGAATTCGGATAAACACCCTCGCTCCCTCCTAGATCCTCCCCCACAACCTACCACAAACAACTCTTAGATACACATGGGACATTTTGGTTCCTTGCAAGTAAATAATTAAGTCAATGAGGCATGCTTACATTTGTTGTATTCCACTTGCTCTAGTTCATTTCTTACCTAAAGAGCACTTTTATATGGTAGTGGATGAAATTGACTTGGTTGTTTGATGTTCTCTTTTTTTTTTTCCTTAGTTGAAAATGCCAGAAATTTTATTTGAGAGCATATGATTTCACTAAATTATTGAGACAAAGAACATAACATTAATCTCTAAAGTGTAACCACTAACCATAATAAATATTTGAGAGCAATCACACCGACAACTAACTGAGAAGAGAGGGTTGTTCAAATAATATACATCCTCCACCTACAACCTTGCGATCGTAGATTCGTCACAATGGAATTGTTCAAATAATATACATGCCCACATTCTTTGAATCTTGCTCCAATTCAATTCTTAGGCCATGTAACAACTAACACGTATGCACGATAAATAAATTATGTGATCCACTTTGGGAATCAAAGAATGCACTACTAAACGTGTTATGCTGAGAGGGAGACAGTTGATCATGTATTTTGTTAAGATAATCGATAGAGCCTATCGAAAAAATAATTATTTTTTTCCAAGAAAATCGATAGAAGGAAGTCCTTGGTTAATTTTACGTAAACATGCGCAAAAACTATATGAAGTTTTGTTGAGACAATTTCGAGAATAATCATTTTCCTATTTGGTTTACAATTTCCTAAATTGGTACAAAGTTTTAATATTTTGACATATAACTTTTTATGCTTTATGCAAGAAAATAGACTTCATAGAGGAAAGAGGCGAGCTGTATCTCAAAACAACATGTATCTCAATTGAAATTGAGATATACAAATCACATATATACGAACACATAATCTCCCCACTCTCCCCCAACTCTCACTTGCATCTCTCCTCCCCCTTCCCCGTCCTCTCACACACAAATACACACATTAGCTTTGAAATTGAAACATATATATATATATATACACACACAATGTATCACCTCTAAATAAATGCACAGATATACAATCCGTATCATTTTTTGTGATACATAAATGAAAAAAATATTGATACAATGTTTGAATATATATATATTCTTTATATCATCATATCCGTTTTTTTTATACACATACAATTTTTTCTGATATAGTTATATCAGTTTTTTTTTCTGATACACATATACATTTTTTCTATGCATAGATAAAATTATTGTATCAAATATATCAATCGACGAAGATACGATTTGATGATAGGTGTATCAATTTTTTTAATACACATATATTTTTTTCGTGATACACATATACAATTGGTTGTATCAATCTAAGAAGAAGAGAACAACAAATCAATAACGCAAACCAAAAAAATTGATATATTGGCATTAATCTAATAAGAGAATAAATTAACAATTGATAGCCACCTAGAAAGTATTAATTAAAGACTAAGAACCACAGGTATAGATAAGAATAATCATTCAGGTAAAACATTAATGGGATTTCTTATTAATCTAAGAAAAAGAGAAGATTCACGTAGTGTATTATAAAGAGGAAGATAAAGAGGACGGGGGGGGTGGCGAGCAAGAGAGGAAGATATAGGAGAAATTTACTATAAAACTCTAAGTAAAATTATGTTATATAATTTTTTAAAAATATCTTTCAGGTTATTAGCTAGTTCTATTGATTACGAATAGTTATTTCTTAAGTGACATTTGTCTAAAATTCATTTAGACTATTAGTGCATGTATAAAAATTAAACTCATCATTGTCATGTTACGAATACAAAAAAGATATATATATAAAACATAAATTACACATGTAGGCCACTAAGTAAACATTACATATCTCCATTTTTTGTTACATATGATGATTATTTGGAGATAACAAATATTTTGTAAAACTAATTAAGGTACGCATGAGCTTACTATGGATAAGCCTCGATAATAGATGGCCAAGCTGAAATTTCAATGATATTGTAACGCGGAAATCCAGCTTCCTTCAACAATTTGTTCCATTTGTCTTCACTCCTTTCTTTCCCACCATTAGTGTGTGCTATCATCATCAAATCCGTTATGAATCCCACATCGTCAAATAAACCTTCACCCTCCAACTTCAAAACTGCGTCAACTATGATCAATTTTCCGGTTTTTTTAGGTATCGCCTTTCTACAATTCTTCAAGATCTTCACACAATCTTCGTCTCCCCAGTCATGCAGTACCCACTATACATGTGTACATTAAAACGTAATCAAGAAAATTAAAATACAGAGTAGAGAGACGGATATAAGATTTTAAGACAAATGCCAAATTAATTGATCAAGGCAATGGATCAATGGGACAGCCAAACTGAACCTAGAAATTTAGACTAGATGCAACTAGTATGATAAAGAGGCGGACCCATACTAAATGTTACACATGCTCGAAGACATATTTAACCCATAACATCAACTTTTGCACCAAACTAATGTCAACACCATTTTAGTGTAAATCAACTCCAATTCACAATACTAAATTTTACACCAAAATGAAATATTCTCTTTATATTCTTCTCTCTTTTTAATATTTATATTATTATTTTTATTTCATTTACATTTTTAAAAATATTATATAATACTACTAATAATAAAATAATAAAAACGTAATTTAGTATTGATAAATAGTGTCACACACAACCTCTTCCCGGTGAGGTTTAGATGTATCGCTGAATCCAAAAAAACAACTTCTAAAATAGTGTTGGGTTGAAATCTCAAAACACTAAATTTTACACCAAAATAGGATTTGGTATAAAAAAATAGTGTTGGTTGGGAGATGGTTTGAGCATCCAATAATTTAAATTTTTGGTCCCACTACCAAAAAATTAAACCCTACATGTATAAAGAGTTTATCACTGATTCTAAAATTCTGAAAATGACACTAATACGTGAAATAATTAAGAAGATAATAAAATGAAATTGTGTTGAACAAAGAAGATACTTCATGTGGCCCGGTACCATTTTATGTGATATATAGAGAGAGAGAGAGAAAAATTATACTTATTTTTGTATTAAAAAACTATTTCACTTCAATATTTTCATTTACCTTTAATAAGATTAATTATAGTCACATAAATATCAATAATCAATTTTAGATCACGAATTTAAAAAACTCTTCCTTTCTTATATTTCTTGTTACTCTATCAAATATCGTCACATGAAATAAAACGGAGGAAGTAATAAATTCTTTGATTAAACATTTTTTTCAATATGTATTGCATGCCAAACTGAAAGAGTGATAGTAAAAGTTAGGTTTAAGTATCTATTTATATATATGTATTGCCAAAGTGACAATAAAAGTCAGGTTTAAATATCTATCGATCTATTTATCTATCTATCTATCTATCTATCTATATAGTTAGGCTTTCCTATTGATGGGATGTAGTAGGTGCCATTATGACTTGAGAAATCGGGTCGTCACATAATTTATTATCGTTTATTCTATTAACTAAATCTGAATATGATACGAATTCATAACCCAAATTAAGAAAAAAATAAAATCGTTATCGAAATCGTTAATTCAATAAATTATTTCCGATAAACTAATAAACACTTTCAGCTAAGATTACTAATTTCTATTCAATTTTGAACAATCCTAGATCCACTCCTTAATAGGATGATTACATGTACTCCAATTAAAAATGCTTTGGATATTAAAACAAAGTGATTGTAATTACTTAAGTATATTAAACAATGATTAGAAATAAAGGGTATTTATCGCAGACTAACTAATAAATCGATCTTTTTTATACTGGTGGTCACATTATTTAAACGAACAAAAAATATGCTTTATTCAGATCCTATATGTACAAGTACAACTTTGAATGAGAGAATTACATTTTTTTGAAATGAAAATAGAAAAAATTGATTAGTTTTCGGATTGTGATACATATATAAATGAAACAGGTTAGAAATCTGCACGATAACTCAATTTTTTTTATAATTTGCAATTATAGTCACTTAATTTTATTTTGTCTTTCAAAAGTACTTATTCAACTCTCAAAGATTGTCACAAAAAAAAAACTATTCAAACAAGATAATTGAACTGGCGAGGTCACAACAATAATCATGACACAATGAAAAGAATCGGCAACGTCAACTTAATTGATAAAGAACTAGGAAGGCAGCATGACTCCAACTGAAATCATATATATTTACATAAATATATATATATATATATATATAGCCAAATTAACATAGTGATAATAAATGTCAGGTTTAAGTATCTATCCATATGTATTCTGCCTTTTAAGTTTCAATAGTCATTAATTCTTTTTAAAATTTTTGTATTCAATCAAACATCGTTAGATGAAGTAAGACTAACATTTTTACCTTGAGAAAAACAGCATCAGCAGGTGGGATAGCCTCAAACATGTCACCCTCAACATGATCAACACCTTCAAACTTTTGTGCTCTTAAAACAACATGAGGCAAATCAAAATTAATCCCTTTAATATGAGGATATGCCTTGACAATTTCAAACATGGCACCTCCTATCCCTCCACCTACATCAACAAGTGATGTTATTGAATTAAATCCATCTTTATACACTTTAATTACTTCCCTCATTATGCATTTTGTCATTGAATTCATCCCATTGTTGAAATTCTTATTCAACTCATCATCTTTAGAAGCCATCTCAAATATTTCACAACCATGTGCTTTCTTAAATGCAATTCCACCTTCTTTTATGCAATTACTAAAATAATGCCATGGTGCCATGAAAATTGGATTGGTTTGGAACAGAAACATTGGTGCTACACTTAGCTCTGAGTCATGTAGTAGCCATCTTGATATAGGGGATAGTCCATAGAGGGTGTCTCCGTCCTGAGATCGATTCAGAAGCACTTTTTTATCACACGATAAATTTCAATTTATATGAACTTATTTGACTAATGATGGAGTTAAAGAAAGAAAAAAAGATTTGTAAAACTGTAATCTCAAATAAATTTTATCTTTAATTTAAAAAAGAAAAATCTCAAATAAATTTTAGATATTTGTATGACCAGTTGTTATCTAAGAAAGTCACTTTTTTTTTATTGAAGAAAATTGAAATCAAATAACTTTTATGGAATAATTAATGTTTTCTAAAAAAAGACCAACACAAGTTGTGATCGAATGGGGTTTGAGCCCCTGTGAATGAATGAATTTTTAATGGAAGCATGGCTTCAAGAAATGGCCTTACAAATATGCAAAGTCATATTTAGTCAGATTTCTATATAGATAAAAATAAAGGAAATTTACCTGAGAGGTAGATGCCGTGAAGATTTTTCGACGAACGAGGAGTCAATCTTCCATATGTGGAGATGATGGAGAGTGAATATTAGGGGTTATTTGTGACAAAGTGATTTTTTGGCCATTATAAGAATGAATAATATCAGCAATACGAAGTTCCACAGCACATTTTATGGCCATTGAATCTACAAAAGCAAACATATATTTTGATATTTGTGCTTGAGCTTGTAGCATTATTATTTCTTCTTCATTTATTGAATCAATTTCCCCCATTTTCTCTTCTTCATGTATTATGAATCTGAAGGAGGATGAAAGTTGTTATATATAACATGTATGACTAAGCAATGGGGCTCACAAATAATCATGGTGGACCCAACTCTTTAATTACGAGTTTGACAAAATCTCAATAATTTTAGTTTGTCAAACTCAATAATTTTAGTTTACTCTTTGGGTGTGTTTGGTATGAAGGAAATAGAATGTAATGATCCAGCGAAGGAGGTTGCTTAACACCTCTTGGGCAAAGGTGGCTCCGCCCCTGACTTCATGCATGTATGTAAGTGTAGGCATACATAAAAATTATAGATATATATGATTAAAAATTGGCTTAAGTCATATGTGGCCCTGTAAAGTTGTCCGCATAATTCACGTAGACACATTAACTAGGACTAGTACCTATTACGTGACAGAGAAAGATATTTAGAGACTGATATAAGAATGATGAAGAAAGAGAGTTTATCAATGGTTACTCATCTCGAAATCGATTGCAAAGAAAAATCGAAAAGACCCAACTTAAATTTAACAAAAAATAATTCTCATTCCTTATAATACACACTCCCTTTGTCTCTAATTATTTGTCCACTTTTCCTTTTATAGTTGTCCCTAATTACTTGTCTATTTTGACAAATCAAGAAATTAAAGGACAAACTTTTTTTCTCTATTATACCCTCAATTTATTACTTTGAAAAATGTAAAACTTTTTGAAAATCTTAAGTTTTTAATTCATCCACTTCAAAATTAATAGGGGTAAAATAGTAAACTCACTATATCAATTATTGTTTTCTTAATAGGTGTGTCACTTCAAGTGGACAAGTAATTAGAGACAGAGGGAGTAATATAGAAAAATATTCAAAGAGACTGATACAAGAGTGATGAAGAAAAAGAGTTTGCCAATGGTTAATCGTCTTGCGATCGATAGCAAAGAGAAATCGAGAAGACCTAAATTAATTTTATCGAATCATCTGGTATTATTTTTGACAAATTTAGTGGGTTTACATTTTATGTTGAAGTGTCTAAGTGAAATATGAAGATAACTTTAAGGGACCGCAAATGACTTAAGCCTTGAAATTTTAACTAATTTTTATAGACACTTCAATAAAAAAATGTTTGAGTTAATCTTTATAAGGCATGTAAAATTAACTTCACTAAAACATGTTTGAAGTTAGTCTTGATAAGTCATATCAAACTTCAAGAAAAAATATCCGATATTTGACTTTCTTGATCACACTTAATTCAGACAAACTTTAATCGGTACGTGACGTTTGAAATTATTTACAAATTAAAATAGATATACAAGTTAAATAATGATCCCAGAAATGGATATTTTTGTACTTAACCCTCCTAGCTTTGGTTGTCCCAACTATTTAGGGAGGGAAATAAAAGAAGCCCTAATTATAGACTATTTATAGGATTTAACATCAAGGTACGTATAACTTAATTACTCATAATTTATTTTCTCAGATAATTAATAGATCATTTGGAAAATCATTCCTCCCTCCAATCTTGTAATCTGCTCGTCATGTGTATATATTAAAAATAAATATTTCATTTTACTTTTCTTTTGAAAATACTATAAAAATCTAAGCAATTTTGTTTCTCTAATTCTACTCCTAGCATTTATAGAGAGTGTGCTTATTGGTGAGAGTTTGATATGTTAATTAAAAAATGAATCATTAAAAATAAATATATCCTACTTGAGAGTAACAGAGTTGGATTAGTGTGTTGTCTTGGGAAAAATAACTCAGCAATGTGTGGTCAATAATTAAGTAGGTAGATGAACTAAATAAATCAAATAGACCTCCCACCTAAAATATTACATACTCCGCTCCATATTAGTTGATCATTTTTATCAAAAGTACTTGTTTCATATTCATTCCGTTCACTTTTACTTGTTACTTATTTCTAAAATAGATTTTCATTTTTACTTGTCACTTTTAACATATCAAGAAAAGACAATTATACGAAAGCATTAATTAAAATTTTCCTATATTACCCTTGCAATTAATTCTTTTTGAAAGTGTTCATATTTGTTTATAAATTTTTCAAAAAAGTTCTTCTAAAAAATGAATTAATAAAATTATCTTCTTATTTATGATTTCTTAATATGCATATTAAAAAGAAGATTCATCAACTAATATGGGACTTAGTAATTATTTTCATATCTCTAGCTCTAGTAGAAAATTGTAACCACAAATATGATATTAATTCATGCGAAAGATTGGGGATTAAATATTATACAATTATACACAAAATAAATAGAGAAATAGAGAAGAAGAAAATAATAAAAAGAATTTAAATCCAACGAGTACATTATTCATGTCTTCACATACACAATTATTATTTAAGAATTGTTAATCAATACACATTATTTTTACTTTAATAATTATCTAATTATTATAAATTAATATAACTTGATATAAATAGCAAATACAAATAAGTTTTTAACTGGCCTCTAACAAAAAGAGATAACAAAAATCCAAAAATAAACGATAAACTTGAAAAATAAGCATAAAGAACAGGGTTTATATATTAATTACTCTGACTTATTAGTTTATAATGTTCACCCAAATTTCCTTTTCTCCAACCATAACTTGCATTTCTTCTAGAGATTGTTGTCAAAGACTTTCGCTATCTCTTAACAATCACACGATAGTAATTCTTACAAAATTTAATGTATTCAATCATATATAATATGATATTAAATCACAAAGATAGTACTCAAAGACGTCTATTTTGTATGGTAATCGGAATTTTCAAATGTTGAATTCGCCTCATAATATTAAGAAAGGAAGTCCTAGAAAGAAAAGTAATTAAATATGTTTGAATACACTGATAACTCCTTAAATTTGTATAAAATCTTCCAATTAAGACATTCTTCTCCGCTCATATTTTTAAAAAAGTTTCTACCTGTTTTATCAAATACTATTACGTAAATATAATTAAGTTAATCACATAAAATGTGTCTCCTCCTTTAATTATACACATACACATCAATTGGAACAAACCTGAGTTTTTATGACTTATTAAGTAATTAACTTATTTATGCAACATGTGCTTGAGAACATATATTGTGGAAAAGCTTTTCCAAAATTTCGCATTACTTAATCATATGTTGAGGTGCTTAATGAAATTTACTAACAAATTTAACAAAATATCGATGTATCTTGCAACTAAAAAAAATGAAACAAGAAGCTCTCATTGAATACATATGAGAAATGATCCTACTAATTAGACCCTACACTAGGGAATTAGAGGAAATTAAGAAGTACTATATGTTACATATGATATTTGTTTGGAAAATTGATAACATAACATATAGTTATTTTTTTAAAACTAATGATTAATTAAGGTACAGGGTATGACTTGTTATGACACATACATTTGTAAGCAACAGGACAAGTCTCAGCTTCTTCTAATGATGAACAAACAAAACTAACCATCACTAATCTACAAGGTTTACATGATCCACATGCATGAGAACAATCTGGTAATCTTGATCCTGCTACTTGTAATGTATCTGCTCTTTTTGCCATTATTCCCCTTGCCAATGTTGTCTTTTTAGTTGGTGACATGACCATATGTCTTTCATCTAAAAAGAAAAAAAAATTGAGCATCATTAGCACAAAGTTTATGTGGTAAAGAGAAAGCAAAATATTACGATAACAATAATATATTCAGTGTGATCACATAAATAGAGACTGTAGAGTATGAGAAGGATAGATTGTATGTGGATTTTATTCTTATTTTGTTGAGGTAGAAAAGTTATTTCTTGATAGATATTAGTTGTTTTTGATGGACATAGTAGTTTTGTACCAAAATATTTGAAGACCGGTAAATGTCTTACTAACGGTTGTGTAAAAATCTTTAAAAAACATACGCTCTATTCGCCTTAAAATACTTGTTACATTTCGTTTTTCGAAAGATAAACTATGAACTCTGATCAATATTTCAAGTTGTACTATTTTTATCAATTTATATTGACATGAACTACTTATAGTAGTTTATATGAGAACAATTGAACTTATTTTATGGGGCACAAATTTAAGGGGAAAAAGACTTTTATAACTTGTGGTCTTAAACATGTAATAACATTTGTGTGGTTATAAAAAAAACATTTGTAGGTAAAATGAAAAGTTTTTAACTTTATATTCTTTGTAAGTATAAAAAAAATAGCATTCTTTTTTAGATAAACTAAAAAAAAAAGTATGTTAAATAAAATAAAATAGAAGAAATACATATTTGGACGAAAAAGAATTATTCATCAATATAGTTTATAAAATTGTTTGTTGATAAAGAAAACTAAAGAGTTGATTCTTCAAATATTTAATCAACTAATGACTAGTTATTATCTTAAAAAGTCGCTTTTTCATTTTTAAAAGAAAATTGGAATCAAGAAAAAAATCTTACGACTTTCTGAGATAATAACTATCAGTTATATAACCATCATCTAAGAAATAAAATGCTTGGAAGAAAGAAAAGTTGGTCATACATGAGTTAATCTTGGGAATATGCCTTGCATTCATGACAATTGGAAGAAAAACAAGAAGAATAATGATCATAGTTGCAATATACTTGAAACTCCTCATTGTATACATCCTTAATTGTTTTTCTTCTTCTTTCTTCTTCCTCTTAAGCTCTTTGATCACCTTTGTTGTTTGATAGTTGATAGAGAAAAAAAAAACAAAGATTAATGTTTTGTTGAAGGACAAAAGAAAGAAATGCATGGATATTTAAAGAGGTGAGTATTGAAGCAAGTCACAGGCAAGAGTGAGAGATGATTTAGCAATAAGCTAGGTCACATGAAATAGGCACATTCACACTCATTGGGCTTGAGAACCCTGTGAATCACAGTTTGACACACTTCCATTTTTCGTTCTGTGCACTGACAGTGTAAAAAATATTTTATTTTACATCAATCATATCGCTCAGCTTGTACTGATAGTCCTAAAGATATTTACTCAATCAAATCACTAATAAAATAATTCGGAAGGAAGTTTTTATGATTAGATAATGATTTAATTTATGTAATAATTAACAGTGTAAAAAATATTTTATTTTATATCAATCCTATCGCTTAGTTTGTACTAATAGTCTTAAAGATATTTACTCAGATCACTAATAAGATAATTTTAGAAGGAAATTTTTATGATTAGACAACGATTTAATTTATGTAATTGACAATGAAAAAAATATTTTATTTTATTTCAATCACATCGCTTAGTTTGTATGGATAGTGTTAAAGATATTTATTCAATTAGATCACTAATAAGATAATTTAAAAGGAAATTTTTATGATTAGACAATAATTTAATACATGTAATTGACAGCGTAAAGATTATTTTATTTTACATCAATCATATAACTTAGCTTGTAAGATAATTTAGAAGGACATTTTTATGTTTAGCCATGACTGATTTAATTAAATTATATAATTGACAGTGTATTGATTGTTTACATTATCAACATAATTTAATACTTTGACTTATAACCTTACCATTTATTCCACATGATTACCTAGTCAATGCACTATTAAACAGATTTATATGTAATTATCTTTTAAATAATTTAATTGTGTAAATATTACTTGATTAATCCGTAGAATTTAAGCTTCTCGAATAAAATAACAATAATTGATCTGTAATATGATATAAGTGGTTTTAATTTACTATTGTAAGTATTATTATATCAATAAATTAAAATATTTAATGTATACTCCATTTATTATTTGTCCATTTTCCTTTTTACACGCCTTCAAAAAATCATATATAAGATGAGTATCTATACTAATTTACCCTTTAACTCGTTTTGATGTACCCTTTATTAATGCAACAAAATATTTTTAATTATATTGACAAGTAATATGAGACGGAGAGAATACTACTTAATTATTTTTTTGGAAGTATGGTGATTAATTTATGGTACAAAAATTTACTATGACAAAGAAATGTTGTTTAACGTGAAAATTTGAATGGCGAGTTGAAGTTGGTTTGTCAATTTTCATGGACCAGCTTTAAATGAAGAAAGCATATATTATAATAAATATTATATTGGTAAAATTATGGTAACATGATCTCAAAGATGAAAAGTAAATATAGTAAAGTTATGAGCTTAGTGTAATCTAATGTGACTGCTATAAATGTTTTTTTTTACTCACACAAAATTAAAGTAAAACTCCAGAATGTGATTTCTATTGCACGTGATGTATTTATTACTTTGGTTAAATATTAGAGTATTCTTTTATAATTACTTAAATTGATAAAATGTCCATACCCCATGTGAATATTTTCACATGTTTTAACAAGTTAATTGAATTGCTTTGACACATCAAATTGAGGTTCTATATTTATCTATTTAGCGATTGTTTGGAGTTCTATATATCTTTTCTCCGTTTCATATAAGTTGCTCACCTGGTTATATATAGACGTTTTAAATTATTTGTCAAACTATTATTCCCTTTGATTTAAAATACTTGATGTTTAAGAATTTTTTTATTTATTACTATCTTTTATCCAAATTGACTCTTAATTGTTTTGAGAGTCTAAACAATTTATAAGTTCTAAAAAGTTTCTTTCGAAGTAGTGGATAAAGGGTAAATTATTTTAATTTTTAATTTTATTTATGATTTTTTAAAAGGCGTGTAAAGAGAAATGTGGATTACTAATATGAGACAAAGAGAGTTATTAATATACACGAATATATTTATTATCTGCACATATATAATTAGACAAATATATTGTATATGAGCAGCTACACTTACTAAGTGCTTAGATAAAATGTATTTCACTATTGTTACGAATGTGTATATATATAGTGTATTCCGTATATAGTATATGCGTGAATACACTTATTATGCGCACGAATGTATTTCATTATTATTATGTACATGAATATAATATATTCTGCTACGTTTTGAAATCAAAACACTGTTACGTTTCGTAATGAAATAAAATCTCATTATTTTTCATTAATCTAGATGCAAATAACGTTATTTACAAAAAAATCTCTTTTAACAACACCACAAAATTCAATCCAATCAAATATTATTATTTTCGTTTCTTTTCTTTTTAATTTCATATTGGGCTTCATGGTGATGGAGAAGCCCAATCTAAATATAATGGGCCGTAATGTTTTTAGCTCCAACCTTTGGTTGCTGTTCAGTGTATACACTTATTATTCACTTCCAAAAATTGAAATAAGAATTGTATATATCCTCTTGATCTACCGCAATCAGCCTCACGTTGTGCCTGATTGATGATAATTATTCGGTATTTAGTATCCATATTGAAGTCCGACTAAATTCAAATTTGCGTTCAGAAGTCCTACATTGGGGGATAACACAATCCCTAACAAAGACGACTCTGTATCCAAGAGAATTCAAATCTGAGACTTTATAATTAAAGATGAAGAAATACTTACCACTTAAGCACAACCCTTGTTGGTGGCAGAAGATTCAACATAATGGGGGTAACTGAGAATAATTAATCACAGAAAAATACAAGAGGATAAATAAAATATTAAAACACGTGCTTAAATTCTTTGAAAACTATGCTATTATTTAATGTATTATTCCATATGATATTTTATGTTAAGCAAAATTTTATTAGTCTAGTGGAATAAAAATAATACTTACTTAGGATTTAGCTAATGTTGTCCGACGGTCATTTTTGAAAACATAAATTCAATGTTTTAGGATTTAATAAATTACATCCATTGGTCTCAACTTCTAGATATATTAAATTGCTTCATTTACAATATATTAATATATTTTAGTATAGTCTTATTTCTTCACTTATGGAATGTCAACGAGATTTAGTTTAATAGCGACCCTATCGATGGTTCTTATGACAAATATTGAGGACATACATGACTAGGACTAGACACTTTTCAGCGCGGTAGATTTTTATTAAAATTCTACAGAACTTTATAATTTTTTCGTATGAAAAAAATATCATTTTTTCATTGATTTAATTAAAAAAATATATAAAAATAGTCATTGAATATTTTTCAGTGAAAAAATACTGATTTTTTAGTGGTGTTAGTTTTGCTATTTTATAAACAAGGAAAAGGACCATATATTGTTCGACTATTATCTTGACGTTATAAAACTTAACAAATATAACGATTTCTCCAAATTGACCAAAATTATTCAATTTTAATTAAAATTATTCATTACGAAAGAAATCTCAATTAAATCCGACCAACAACCCATCAATCATTTCTACTAATATTTTCTTTTTAACAAACAAACACCCCAAAGGAACATTTGGTTTCAAGATGACCAAATGAAAACAAAAAAAGCCTCCATATCTAGTCAAATATTTGTTGCTTAAAAGAAGTTTCTCCCTTATTTCTTTTCTTATTTATTAAGTATTACTTAGAGACCATTCCTTTATGTTGACTTATATGAAGTGAAAACAATTGAAAATTTCATCATGACCGTTCATAACATTTTTCTTAAATTCTAACTAATCCAATAAATGTTTTGAATATGACCTTCTTGACTTTGACTACCAATTTTAATATTGCACTACTATGTCGACAAAAAATAACAAAAATGGTCCATTATATTTGAGTGTATGTTAAAAAAAATAATCTTAAAATTAAATAGTTTTGATCTTTTAAGTTTATCAAAGATGTTAAAAGTCATATATCCGAATGGACAGTCGAAATAAAGAAGTTTGACTGTTGAAATTCAGAGTATATCATATCAATTAGAACGGAGTACCAATTAAAATTTGATAAATATTTGTTGAAGATAAAAACTACTCATTATTTTGTAAATTTAAAGGGCCAAATTTATTCAAGTGATACTTATATAGACTATTTTGAACCTACTTTTAAAGATAATGTACCATTTTTGTCATTTTCTTATACTAACTCATTTAATTTATTCAAACAACCAAGCCGCCTACCAAGTACGAAAAAATTGGCAAGTACAGTCAAATGAACCTATATAGATCTAACACGTTTATTAAAATAGAAATATCATCAATAATTTAACCAAATAAATACACAATTCATCAAGACCAATTGATATATATTCATAGCTAAAACTTTACTCTACCACCAAAATCTCTCCATACCAATATTTTCCAAAGTTAAAAGCAGGACAAACTCGGGATCAGAGCACTATGACAAGTCTAGTACGAAACACCCCGTTACATTTTAGCAGACGGGTGGATGGATACGAGCCGTTGGATCAACCAGAATGTACGGAAGCTTCGATGCAGAATGATGAAGACCGTAGTCATAGTGTTCGGAGAACAATTATGAAATTAAAGAGGAGTGTAAAACAAAGAAGTAGTCCAATTATGTTGAATTCAATTAGTTATAGAAGGGAAAGAGCAAGAAAAAGAAATATATTTTTGCAAAGCTACAAATTGGAATCTTCAAAGAATTTAAGGAACAAGAAATTGAAGAAAATTGTTTTAAAAGTGAAATGTGCTATGATTTCTATTTTTTCTTTTATGAGGGCTCATAGTATAAAATCTTGTACTAATTCTAATTCTGGTATTGATGCTGTTTCTCCAGCTAGAGTCATAAAATGTTGTTGATTTTTATATATATTTTTTTATAATTGTTTTGGATTAGCAAATATTCATATGTACTAGAACATTTATTTGGGTCAAGATGTATTATATGTGAATGATGAAAGAAAATTTTAAGGCAAACAAACATCCAATGTTGTTCATCTCGAGAATTTTAATAGTTCAGTTAATTAATTGA